TTAAACTTTCCTTTTTACAACGATCCCATAAAACTTATGGTACGATTTTGTACAGCTGTTTTGTGGAACTGAAATAAGGAATAAGTTTAATCATAGTGCTGCGCGCGCGCTTCTGATGTTGTAGCGGTACACTTTACGTTCGAAGTTCGATAAAAAAAATCGTCAAAAAATTGTATATCAAATTTAGATTGTCTACATAAAGAGATAACTTCAATCTTCAAATCTACGGAAGAATCAATCACCAAAAAATTTGTTCAACGATGTTAGAGGACGCTTCTGTGCGTCAGCATTGTGCGTCATAAGCTACAAAAAAAGAATGTTGTACAAAGAGCCTAACGAGAAATCGAAATCAATTTGGAAACTTATGGATAATGTGTTCTTCGTCGGTTCATTGAGAATTGTTATTTATTTGAGAATTATAATTATCCCAGAAATATAATTTTTGTATTTTAAATTTTCAAAAGTTCATTGCGAAAATAATGACTAGACTGCGGATTTTATGTATTTCTGGTGAAAATGAGTAGCTGAAATATAAAATTATAAAGACGTGAGGAGAATTTAATAATACCGTTACAGTATTTTCAACTTATCAAAATTAATCGAAGAAGCAATTGACCTTTATTTAAGTTCTGTTTCTTACAATCGTCTTGGAAAATGTTTATTTTGCATAATGATCTGCAGTCTAATAACGACGATTGAGTACTGCGAATAATTTGAAATCAGAGAATGAAAATTGCTGTTTAAACTGAGAAACGATCATGGTGTTCAGTATCGAGTTCCACGAATGAGTGGTGTTATAGTTATTTCGGTTATGCAACAGGGGTAGCAGTTATCGATCAGCCAGCGTCTAAGAACTTTTTGCCAAGACCGTATTGATCCTGGCAGAGTTCGTAGACGCATTTCACGCGACCTATATGGTTCTAGTCAATGCTTGTTACCAGAACACTAACGTTGCATGTGAAATGTGCATTACGAAAAGTGGATATACATAAACTGTCATCGCACGGTGAAAGAATGAAAGCTTCATTTTTACCAAATCATACATTACAACCTGCGTTACTAGCTAGAAAAAGAGACGATTAATTCAATTGTTTATTTCTCGGAATCGTGTGCAAACAAAATCAGTCTCTGCATGACGTGATAAATTGTGACGCCGCACCGCCCACGAATAATGTGATATTACACAATTTTGTGAAGTTTCTCTTCCAACAACTTTTAAGTGAATTATTTGTCACACACAGATGGGTATGATTCATACAAATAAATTTTTAACTATTTACGGAATTGATCAATTTTGTTACTCAGCAATTTGGGAGCAAACGATATATTTAAAAGTTTAGTATGCTTCGAAGGTACATAGTTGCTTATTGAATGGTTCATTGTTCGAGGCTTTCACCGATCGATAAATAAAAATATGATTAATATGAAGTAATAGGTCACGACATTTTATTGAAAAACACGTACCTGGTAAACAGACGAGAAACAGGAGACTGGAGTTGAGTGGTTCCAGGGTTGCTAGTGGCTCTAGGTACTCTTTATATACCTTGTTAACTGAAACTATAATTCATTAGGACGATGTTCAAGGAATTGCGAATTCTCTTTATCGAGCAGCTCGATCGAAAAATAAACGACAATTCTGAGCTTTATTCAGAAATTTTTCAAAACATATTTCTAAAGATATTTTTTGCAGACTTATTAACGTTTCTGTTGTTCCCAACATAACAGTTGTCTATTTTATTTAATTGTCGAAAATTGAGTAATAATGTGAACATCGTAAATACTCCAGGTCAAAATTAACCTGGCCACCGCCTCGCGAGGATTAACCTCTTGCCGTACTTTAATGAGTCAGACTCGTAGTGGAAATTTCTAGTAATAAGCTGTTAGGTATGAATGTTGTTCCGTTTAAGTCGGAATCAGTTTCTATTCTCTTGTCACCAATATTTGAACATTTAATCAGATGTAAACGCGCAATAAATATAAAGTTTCTTTTTTTTCTAAGAAATTATTGCGTTGGGAAAGGTCTAATCATTGTAGTAAGTGGTTAATACGCAACAAAGAAGTGTCGATGCGACGCTCAGGACGTTTCTAACGAAAATAAGCTAGGATCTCATATTATATAGGAGAAACTCAAATTATTCGTTCGAGTAGAAGTTGCACTTGAAGAATTTGAAAAATGATAATTAGGTTCCAGAGTCTAGTTGAGTCCTGGTACAGTCATAAGACAATTATTTGTCTCAAGGAGATCATATTTTATTCTTCTCGTTATCACCTGTTCTTCTGGTGCTATTCCGTGGAAACTCCTAGCTCAATGCTAAACTTATCCGCTGGCTATAGTCTCAGCAAACGCATCGTCCGCAAGATTCTTACAATTAGGACAGTCCGAGACATCTACCGCTTTCTCGAGTTGCTGAATCCTCTAGCTCAACGATAGTTTCAATGTCTCAGCTATCGTCGGCCTTGAAATGATGCTGTTAACATCCGGTCGATATCGCATCTACACAACGGATCGCGCAAAATGTCATAGGGCATTTTTCGCATAAGCACCGATAAGTTGGATCGCATGCGGAGATGCAATAGTGTCGGCCAATGTATATTTACCGATCACTCTTTTCTGGAGCATTCATTTTCCTATATCTTTCTTATCAGCACCGTCTATCGATCAGTACGGATACGCGACTATATGTACAGGGTGTTGGGAAAATAGGGTGCGGACTTTGTGGGGTTTCTGGTTCACGATGAAGAGAGAATATTTTATTCTCTTGCGATTCAGATGTGTCCTGCTTGAACTGGATGTGAATTATTCGATTAATTATCGTGCGATCGGTTAAACTCGTGCTGGGAGAATCGGAAATTTTAATTGAAAATATTTCTTTATCTAGTTCTCGTAAAATTGATCATATTCATTCATTGCTCTTGAAAAAACTATGTAAAATATTGTTTATAGAAATGAAGATATTTTGTTAAAAATACCTGTCGTATTATTATTATTTATTGTCTAATCATTAGAGGCACGGTGATCAATGAAAAATAAAAGATTCTTTTGGAAAGCAGTACGGTGCTGAACGAGCTCAGTACTTTAACATAATTTCGGGTCGATTCTGTAAACTGTTTGTCGACAGAGCTTGTGAAATTATCGATCCTGTTAAGTTACTGTTAATATTTATCGCGATTAGTTATTATGCCTGGGAACAGTCACTTGTGGTTATTTCGTTGAAAATGTCAAAAGTGATATCGATCGCAGGACGATACATGACTTCAAAGGAATTGTTTTTAGTCTAATGTTTTCGCATCCTTCATTTTATTTAACGCTATCAGTATTAACATCAAATGTCTTTTAAATATTATTTTTATACTTTTTGAGCAAGACTGCAAAAAAGATTGCGAGAAAGAAGAATTAAACAAGGAACGCACTTACCGTCTCAAACGCGTTCTTATGCTTCTGTTAAGGTCGCTGGATCGTCAAAAAAAATTTCGACTATATGCAGTGCACAGAAAATGGGATCATCATGGATGGGATTAATTTTTGAACTCTTTAATTAATTCTCGAAGAAATCGTGAAGAGAGCGTCGTCGTAGTTCGCGTACTATCAAGAACAGGCAAGCGAAATAAGTTCGATCTAACCGTTTTCGAATAAAATTGTATACGTAGGCGAGGGCAATGAACTCGCTTGCCCGCGTCAAGGCAAGTGTTGTCGCCAAAAAGAGGCAACGTGCCTGTCGCCCTCGCCGAAATACAAAGGCCGTCTGCCTGGCCGTATTACAGTCAGTTAAGAAAAACATTGTCAACAGTCGCCTCGAAGTACTAATTTTCGTAAATACCGTTCCAGTCAGTTTCCATCCTACAAGGGTAAAGCGAGAAAGAGAAATCAGGAAACTATCGCTCGAAACTGCTTGTAACACGAGGCGCGATTTACGATCTGAAAAACGGAATGTTTTTTTCATGACAGATACAACATCATACGCCGTTTTTCATTCGCGCGAGGTAAATGGTTATAGTAATTTGCGCGCGGATACCGCACACCGGTGCGCACAGATCATAACTCATATCTCGTGACTCATGTTGTCCACAGTTCGCGATCATCAAAAGCAAACACAACTCATTCATTGCAATTCAACCACGTGAATATCATTTCCTCACTGCCAAGTTCTTCTTCCGTTCGCCTGGATGTCCTCGTTTCTATGCAACAATGATTCAGTGACTTTTTAAGAACAGGAATGTTAAATTTTTGCTCTTGCACTTTCTCTTTATACTACATAATTCTACTGTTTATACTCGCATTGTACTTTGTATTTTAGTTTTGTATTAAAGTTTTAGGACACATTAATTACATTTGGGTATAAAGTATACTTAATCTAAGACTACTCATAACTTGTACTTTTTATTTTACTGTCCTCTAATCGAAAATCATTACTATGCTTGCTGTTTCATGTAAGCAATTTTACATATGAGGAAACTCCAAGTTTATGCGTTAATGAAAAGCTGCAGTACGCAGACTTTACGTATTTATTAGAAAAAATCATGATGGCAATATTCGATAGGTTCAACCAAACGAAAGAATAAGGAAACATAACTGACAATATCTCGAAAGTGAAAACACGTGTCATGCGGCGGTTTTTCTTGCAACCGTAGATTTGTCATCATCATGAACTTTGTATCTTATTTCAGTCTTCCTCGAATATTTAAAACGGATTATCTCAGTAATTAGAGATTAATTAGAATTATTAAGAGTGTGTTCGTACACAATTGTACATTCAATTTTTGTCTGACGTGTTAAATATTTTGTCTACTGTTTATCCCTATCTCAGTAACTTAAACCTTTTGGGTGTCAGCACAATTCGTATATTTGATTTTAGTCTAACATGCTAACTATTATTTTTACTGTATACTCTTGATGAGCTCCTTCTAGTTAACCAAATTTTATTCAAATATCTTTAACCTATTGAACTATCGATCTCTGGCCATCAACGATTCACTTAAGGGAAAAATCTGTTCTGTTTCAGCTAATGAAAATAGCCAAGCAGGTTCTTGGCGAGAAGCTTTTCACAAAGCTTATGAAGGCTACATTTTACGGTCACTTTGTCGCCGGCGAAGACGAGGTGCAGATCACTCCTGTCCTGGATAGGCTGCGACAGTTTGGCGTGAAGCCGATCCTTGATTACTCTGTCGAAGAGGACATCTCTCAAGAGGAAGCTGAAAGACGTGAAATACAGTACGTATCCGCCATTCTTGTACCCGTTGTACTTGCTCATCATCATTAGCCACCTTTATCGCACGTGCACAAACCGCGTGCATATAGGATTCACTTGATCCACAGTGGATCCAAGAATTATGGATTTACTCAAGCTTTCTGCCGTAACGTAAGCCGGAGATATACAATGGTTATAAACACGTGTAAAAAATACAATAGACTTTTCGGTGCTTCATTGTAATATTCCTCGAGCTCACACGAACAAATTGTTTAGAGCTCAAATCAGTTCACCGTTTCTGATAGTTTTTTTTTAATAGTTCTTGTAAAATCGAAGGTCAGTTAAGAAATTTTTAAAAAATAGTTCAAAAACTACAACAATCTCATTCATAATCCACGAAACTATTTAGATCAATGTAATGTAACAAGTTCGTTTGAAATTATTATTTGGAAAAAAATTATCGAGCTTCTCTTAGACATAGTTCAGACATTGAAAAACCTATTAACACGTTATGTCAATCACATATGGTTGACTCTAATCTTTGATAAAGATTTCAAAATTCAGTTTTATTTTAATATATTCGCGAACATTTAAGATGTTTAGACAAAAAAATCATGATAAATTTGGTGTTGATGTTCAGCATTTAAAGTGTTAATAGGTTTCCAGTAAATGAAGTGTTAACTACGTAGTCCAGATCGCGCCAATACGCTACTGTTCTTGCTTACGCTATCACGAAAGGTTCGAGGACGTTCATATTTTGAGATCCACTGGATCACGATCGAACAGCACGACTTTCACGGCTTTTCATTGGTAGAATACGATGACAAATTAGCACCTCGCTGCCCGGCTAGGACCTCATCCTCTCATTTCCACGCGAGCGCACAAGAAAATCGCGAAATCAAGTAAGCATCGTGCACAATCGAACGCATTAATGTCTCAGGCGTGAATCCGAAGTTTACCAGCAACGGGCAATGCCCGGGTTAACCAAAAATTACTAGTTACTTTTCATTACTTGTAAAACGGTTTGCAAACATCTATACTTAATTGTTGTATTCTGTAATTACATTTTTATGTGTAAATGCTATTAGAAGATGAATTCTATTATTTATTTTGTTTTAGTAAGACATAAATACTTAATGAGGCATAAATATATATATGTGAGTCGAATAAAAAAATATTTTTTACCGTTTTTGGGTGCTTTCTACCCTATAGTGTGTCGGTTTGTATGCGAGTTTATCTCGAATAGGCAACAGGTAGAAAGCTGAATGCGAGTAAAACAATTCCACGAGTCCATCGTCGAGTGTCCTACAAGCATAGAACCGCTTTCCTGTTGCGAAGAAAGCTATTTTTCAAGTAAAAGCGACGGTTATGACGACGGGATTAGGGTGACGGTTTTTACTTGAAAATTATCTGAAGGAAGGTATCGCTCGCGAAGACTCTCGGAAGAATCCCGAAAGAGGTTACTATGTTAGCATCTCGCTGGTACCATAAAAGGAGATTTCAGCTTTATGGCGAATAGAGTTCTAGAGGACGTGAAGGAGCCACTTGCTGAATCAACTTTCATTGGATTCTCAAATCACTAGTTTGGTTTGAAATCATTCAGGTTGTTCCTAGATAACGATTGAACTGCGAATCTTTATGCGAAATAAAAATTGTCTCATTTAATTGTAAGGAACACAATTTCGACGGAAATGTCTTTGTTTTCTTAATAATTGTAATAAATTGGAGATAATGGAACAATATCCTTAAATTTTGTCTAATGCCTTCACAGTTCTGTATCTAACTTATTCAATTTTTTTCATAAATCCACGGTCTACTAATAATTATCAATAGGGTGCGGATTTTATGTATTTATGAAAAAATGAACAAGACATACAAAATTGTAACAAGATTAGGAGAATTCAAGGATACCGTTACATTATTCTCAACTTGTTACAATTATTAAAAGAGGAAGGACATTTTTGTCTAATTTATTGTTTTTGAAATTAACATAGATAGTTTTAATTTTGCAGAAAGATGCGCTGTCTTTTTATGAGGTAAAGGGTGAAAAGGTTTATATACATTGCAGTAGTATGAAATTAATTTTGGTTGAAGTAATGCTTCAGTAATACCATTCTTTGAATATAAATGCAACGCTAATAAACATTATAGGGTCATTAAAAAATAGATTGATCTCTTTTCGAGGTCGGCGTTTATTGAATTTTATGATTTTCGTTCTTGCTCGAAAAGAAGTTAAGTGATGTTGCTGGTTTCCACTTTGCACTTTCGAAGATTGAGTTTGTGTTTGTAGCTCAATAATTCCTCATTTATAATAAAAGTAAATGAATGTTAAGTATTTGAATTCAAATTATTATGAATTTCGATAAGAGTTAAGTCATTACACCAATTTCTGATTTCTCATTTTCCTCTTTGTCTAAATATTGAATTCACCTTTAAAAACACCTAAGGGAAGCAACCGTCCACAGTTCCGCTGGGATTATTACAGTTCCTTAACTATTAAGTATCGTATTAGCATAAATAAAGCTTTTCTATCGTCAACGGCATTAAATGCAAATAAGTCTCGAAGGAATAGAAGACACAAGAGGCGGTAAACCGTGGATCTGGGCTTGAAAGGCATGGATGTGTTCGACTGTGCAAGATAGAAGAATTTATTGATTCCCTGGCTTGCGAAATTTTTCATGAGTACGCGCGTGACAAAGTTATGCCACTGCATTGACATGGAAATTCTTCTCTCTGAACGCAAACCGGAGGGAAACTTTCAGAAAACAACTTTCGTTATTAAAGCACGTTGGAAAAATAGTAATCTCGGAACTGGGAACATTGTTTGAAACAATTGCACAAGGTATAGTGTGTTCTGATAGTGTAAATGCTGGTAATCTTGGCAAAATCCGAACTTAATATTCAAACTGAATAATTTAGTGCAAAAGTTTAAGTAGGAATTGATTACGTCTCTTAATACTCGAACGTCGGATCTTTTTGACAAAAGTATAACCGAGTATGTTTAGCGTCATTAGTAATTTTATATATCAATTTTTGTCAATATATTTTTTAGATATTCCGTCTGGATTTTTAATTACAATTTGTTGTCGAAAATTTGATGGTCAAGTACGATAATCTGTCGTGTTAATTTTTTTTTTGACTCATTTCTGTAAATGCATGAAACATAAAATGCATAAAATCCGCAGTGTAACAGTTCCCTTTAGTGATCGTTATTTTTTCAACGAGATTCTCTGCACTGTTCCATGTCACCTGCACTTGTCGTATAGTCTTTTGCATCATCGGCATTGAAAGATGGATGCGTAAACAGCGGTAAATGAAAAGGGAATGTTCAAAGCAATGACGTGTATATTGATGGATTACAGAGCTTCTGTGTCTGAAGCCGGGGACGAGAAAAGGGAAGGGCCCCTGAAGAAGTATCACGTGGCGAAACCGTTTGCTGATCGACGGTACAAGGTGTCTTCGGCGAGAACGTACTTCTACCTGAACGAAGCTTCTTGCGAACGGAACATGGATATATTTATTAGATGTCTGGAATCTGTTGCAGGTAAGTCAATGTTACTGCGTCAGATAGATAGTCTTGTACTTGCCACGCCCGAAGTTTCTCTTCTACTGCCTAAATAACCTCTCTATTATGCTAAAAGAAGAACCGGCGAATGTTACAGTGAAGATTTGTGGTAGAATCTGATCAAACAATTTTAGAACCGCGAAAACTATAAATCTTAATACAAATGGCAAAACTTTTTTTGAGATGAATGAAAAATAACGTACCGTTATTGCCTTGTCCATTTATTCATTGAATTTTTGACAAAAGCAGAGAATTGTCTTTTTCAATTATTCTTCGAAGAACTGTTTGCTTATTCGTGATTTTTGTAACTCGTAAAAAACTTCCAGTCGGCGACGAAAATATTCGGACACTTTCTAACACGGAATAAATTTTAAAACATTTGTACAGATGCCTCGAATTTATTTTAAATGTTAAGAATAAGATAGAAATCTGTACGAATTACAAGACGTGTGAGCCAAGCATAATTTTCACTGTGATACATTACATTCATTTTTGCCATAAATGCATAAAATCTGTAGCCTACTTATTATGTATATTTTTCAGATTATTGATGCCCGAATGAATGAATGTGTATTTCACGAATCATTTTGCTCCAGTTCCGAAGCACTCTCAAACCTGTTTTGGTACCACTGAGACCGGTACAGCTTCGAATTTGCTGCGAAAAAAATATTAATACCGATTCCTTCCCTCCGATCCCATGAAACATGTATGTATGTGAACGTTTTAATACGAATGCAATCCAGAATGCTTGTGATTTCCGAGGTGGAAGATAACGTTGCACGTGTCGGGAAATGTTCCGACGTTTGATTCCACACAGTCTGGTCAAAATGCAAATGATTAGTGAGCCAGACATCGGTAAGTCTGTGCGAAGAGATAAAGAGTGCCGTGGGGAAAGTACTGGCTCGAAGTTTATCGAAATGTTCATTAACATTAGAACTACCAAATCAGTCAAAAAAGAATTTTTCATTTTTATTTTTTCACAATTCCTGATATTACAAAAATATTTCTATGATAAATTTTTAGATAAACTTCTTTATTTATGCATACATTATAATACAATAGTTATCGTACGAAGTTTAAATAAATCAAATCTTGCACATTGTTATAAAATAATATATATATCAGTAACGCTTAGGAATCGGTATTTTTATCGAGAAAGAAATTATCGAGGATTATCGAGAAAGAAACAACAATTTATACACAATGTATTCGTACATAATTTCGCTACTTCGATGGGTTGAAAGGGTAGATGTTGTGATTTTCGAATTTTTTATATATCGTTAATTTTCAATATTACCGCTTATCGCGGCCGATGGCCATCACTGTCACGTAAATCATTGGAGCTTAAAGTAATCGTTGCGCGGAATACATTGGAAAAGGTTGTAAAACCGTTGCTGTTGTATGATTAATTGACGCAATATTGTGAGCTGTAAATTATGACAGTTTTGAACTTGGTATTCTAAACACGGAACTTTATGCGGTATTCGGTCGCATGATTCAAAAGGCACCTGGAAAATCAGCGTGGAATTTTTGAGCCGCTGTGGTTTCGTAGAGTGCACAGAAAATCATTGATAAAGTACAGAACAGAGTTTTATAGCTCCATCTTTTTAGTAATTTACTGCAAGCATTAACCTGGAGACAAAATATCGCACAATCTCGGCTGCTCTTTTCTTTGTATTGCGTCCACCCAGTTTCTACGTCCACGTCGTTTCTGTAAAATTGCAACGTAAGTGAAGGAATAATATTCGGATAAAATTTGCATAGAAAAGTTCAAACTTGCCTAAACTTACAGAATTTAATCAAATATTAGATAGGGCAAGAATAAATATTACAATAGCGTAATTTAGTACCATGAATTCGTAAGAATTGGGTCATTGCCGTAGACAATCATAATTACAAGATTCCAGGACAGAATGTTCCATTAATAATTCATTGCACGTAGTTCAATGCTCGGGACCGTGGAAAAACACTTCGCCAGTGAGGAAACATCCGCACAACGGAAACGTATAGAATTCATCGCATTTTTTATCTGTACTACTGGTATCAACATTCGGAGTTCGAGACACTCGAAGGTTGCAGCGTTAAAGGTCATTACCACCGCCATGAGATCATTCGCAGAACACGCGATGGAAAATGCCGTGTTTCATTTAAACAAGTCAAGGCCAACTTAAAATCTCGCGAGCCGTTCCGGCAACACACCACTTATAGTTTAGTTATTTAACCACATATTTCTTTTATCAATGAACATTGCACTTCTGAACAAAGCTAATCCGTTCACGTGTCCGTCTGTCCGATGGGAAACGCGTGACGTCCGTCATTGCCTGGCGGAACATGGCAATTATTCAAATAAAATTGATTAAAAAGCGATGGGTCAAGAGGCGATCAGGAAATTTTTTCCATTTGTTGGTTTTCAGTTCTTTGAGGTTAACATACTCCTTTGAACTTAATTGTAGCTGCAGTAGATGCAAACGAGTTACTACATGCAATCTGGATCGTGAACTTTGTGCATTTGTAATATAAGTTAATAGGTGTAATAGAGAACTATGAAGACATTAGAAGAATTTAAGAGTATTTTTACTCTACTTTTGAATTATTAAAATTATTGAAAGAGAAGGTTCATTTTTAGTTTATTTCTGCTTTTTGTTAGTAGCTTGGACAATTTTCATTTTGCATTTTACAGTCTAGTAGAAATCATTGTTAAACTGTATATATTTTTTTTAAAAAGAAGGTGGACAAAATACTTGTATTTCAATGATTCATGGTACCTACTGAAGATTTGAAGGCTCACATCAGAAAAAAGAAATTTTCTTTAAGTATTAAAAACTTGTGATAACGAAGCAAGAAGCTGTAAGCTATAATACTTGAAGATTTCATTGTAATAATTATTATTAAAACCATTTGTTCGTTGTTTTAATGGCGTGACTCTCTGCAAATTATAAAAGAATTAGCACTTTAATTTCCTATGAAAATTTCGAATGATCAGCTTATTGCACGAGGATCTCTATTACGTCTAATTTTCATTATTAATGGTAAGAGAAATTGAAGAGAAATATTGGTTGATAAATCTGCTAAAATGGAAATTTTCCTGATATTGGAGTCCTCTTGAGAACGATGGCCATTTAGGAAAATGCTTTTGGATATTACGCAACGAAAATGTGTTACTCAAACGAATCCTTTGCCATGGCGAGGGAAGGCACTAAAGTAATGAAATCTCTGAGAGGGTAGAAGTCCCCAAGGCAAACTGGGAAGGATGGACGAAAGAACAAACCGCGTGAAAGATCTTCAAACGTTTCCACTAACTAACGCGCATTCCCTTCAAGGTGTAGGGGCAGTAATTCTTTCTGTCAGCGAGCTGCAGCAGAATTATGGTTCCCTTGAATGATAAGATGATATAGCGCTGCGTAAATCTGTTCCGCGGAGCGTTCAACAATTTCGGACGTACCGTTTGAAATCACAAAATAACAAGTGCTTTAATATTTAAGGCATATTAATATGTAATTATAGAATGAATCGAATTTGATTTTCGGCCTAATTATCCAGAAAATAACATTTAACACTTTGAAATATCAACCGTTAAACGCGACTAACGTATACTATTTTATAATAATAGCAAGATTGGATTTATTTAAACTTTGTATAATTTCTATTATGATTTGAGCTTGAATAGAGAAAAAATGTCTGGCAGAAACATTTTTATAATGTCAAGAATTGTAAAAGAAAAATTTAAATGCATCTCCGACTGATTTGGCATTCTTAGTGTAAAAGTCTCGATTGTGATGTATTATTTACAATTAGAACTAGACTATTCCTATATATTTTTCAATGAAATTGTTGGTGATAATTAAGCTGTGTCGTGATAATATTTGAAGACCACATTTACATAAACGCAATGTAGAGTAATACATTTTGTTGACCTAGCTAGACGAACTACCTATCTTAATCTGTATCTTCATAAACAATGCTTCGACAACCGTCTGTGCATTCTCGTAGTTCTACATCTGCGACAGTGTTCTCAATTTTGCATCAAACAATAGATAATCAGGGGCTTGTCCTGCTCTAGTAAAGATGTTTCTGTAAAAGCAAATAGGCCAGTGGTATTTCTTTCTCGGAAGATGTACGACTCTGTCAAAGCTCGTTCCACTGCAAATAAATTTGATGTTGCAATTCTACTTCGGTAGAAATCTAGTTTCATTGAAGCTTGGTTAAATTACTCAGTTAAATTAAAATTACGTTATTGCGCTCTGAAACAAATAACCCGAATAATTGTAATTAAGAAATTTTCGGATATATCGAACTAATTTTATGCGGATTAGATCGGTTTAATTAGAAACTGGTGATATTGTTGAAGGAAATTTTTGACGCAAAACTTCGAAAATTTTGCTCGGCGAGAACACGTGGACGTAGCATCTATAAATATCTCCCCTAGGGAATCTTGTATTCTCTTAAGCGTCCAAATAACGTGGCATAACGGTGCCTCGAATAGCCGAAAAAGTTTCCAGTTCATTTGAATAATGTAATTCGGCCCGACCAATTACAGTTGTCGGTCTTCGATCAAACGATAGCGCGTCATAGACGATACTTGCAAAGCGTTCTTCAGATAAAAAATTGCTGATCATTTGCTCACCAAAATTCAACGATCTAGTAACAGTCTCTTAATTTTTTATAACGGTCACAAACATCGACACTTTTTTCTGAGCAAAATTAGAATCGATCATGCTTCATCTAGTCTAATAATAAGTAGAGCAAATAAACTTTTTATTCTGCAGGTATACCGGTTGATATAAATATTATTTTTCATTTTATAGGGGGAAAGAAACCAAACAATGCATTGGAGAACACGAAAATTGTTGCTTATATGTATCTATTGTTTGTGAAACGTATTCTTCAAACATTAAAACCTGAAATATCCTACGCATTACAAACTAATATCTACCTCGATCCTTGTCCTGACGAGAAGAGACACTTCAAGCACAAAGACCCTTTCCGATTCGTTCCGTAAATATCTATGTTCTCCTCGGTCAAGAGAGGGTACCTTGTAACTAATGGTGCAACCAGTTAAGTCTTCATTCTATTTAACCCTCAGCGGTTTAAAGGGTTGCCGAACTTTTGTTCCATTTTAGCTCTTGCGTAACGAATTTAGGTCACATCGACACACATTCGTCGTTGGCACATTTATTCATTTAAAATTGTACGTAGTTGTCATCATGAAGAGAAATGACTCTTTTACAATTTAAACGTACAATATCTTATATCTTGCAGTACCTCTTGTGTGTCACATCAGTTACAAGATACACTATCAAATTTTGCTCAAGACAAATGTTTTATGTCTTCACTTTTCTGTTCAGGTGCTTCAATGGGTGTAGGTATTACAGCAATTAAGCTGACGGCTCTTGGTCGACCACAGCTTTTGGTACGTATTTATTTTATAAAACGTTTACAGAAATAGTTTCTAAACGATTTTGTATTCTTACGATTTCTTCTAAAAAAGACTATTTTATATAATTAATAATTTATAAATGTTTCTTACTATCTACAGTTATGATGGTATGTTTCCCAACAAGGATTTTTTGTGTTAAGAATAATTGGAAGAAAATTTAATGGAGAGTAACTTGAATTGTTTTTTTAAATATTTGTTTTATACCTCTGCAGCTCCAATTATCTGAGGTAATTATGCGGGCACGACAATACATGTCTGACGTGGTTGGTGGTGAAGGTGCTGTTTTAACCCATCACGCGAAACCAGATGACTTCATGAAAAAATTCGAGGAAGCACACATCAAAGATGAGGCGCCAGTTCAAAAGTTTCTTCAAAAGATACAGTCGGACAAAGAGGGGTAATTTGGTCGTAATTCTTAGATTGTAACATGCTAGACTTTAATAGAATTTAAAATTGTAACTTACTTTCCATTCTAATGTTTGCATCAGCAAAGTACTGTATTAGTTTTCGTTCCAACGTGTACGTGTAATTTAAAAAAGAAAATTAACTTCTGCAGATACTAATGAATATCATCTGATTTCAGTGTCATTCACTTGTTCCCATGGAGTGGTATTTTGGACGAAAATTACGAGCTGAGCGAGACTTTCCAAGTACCTGATATTAAAACAGGAAAGATGGTGAAGCTTATGTCCCAGTTGACATCGAAGGAAGAAGAGATGTTTAGAAACATGATTAGACGCCTGAACACTATAGTTTCGGTATGGATATAAAATAGAAATAGGAAAAATAAAATAGGAAAATGAAGTAGAAATAGTGCATTAGTTATATTGTGTAAAATATGATATAAGAAATAAAAAGAAATTTTGTACTTGTACAATTTCTTGACAAGTGAGTGAGAGAAGGGGGGGGGGGGAGTTCTCATTCTAATGCAGTACAAGTTATTTGGTTGATTGACAAAGACAGGTTCGTTAATTTCTGTCCCAGGTGGCTGACAAATTAAACGTGCGCATTATGATAGATGCCGAACAAACCTATTTTCAACCAGCCATTTCGCGACTGACGTTGGAGATGATGCGCAAGTACAATACAGATAAGGTAATGCTTTGAAATCATTGATATGTCATTATCACTTAGTAAATTTTCAGTGAATGATTTCTGACTCCCAATGGTCTACTTCATAGGCCGTGGTGTTCAATACCTACCAGACATACTTACAAGAGGCTTATAACGAGGTGAAAACGGACCTTGAACAAGCAGAACGTCAAAATTTCTACTTCGGTGCTAAACTCGTCCGCGGAGCTTACATCGAACAGGTAATTTAGTCTTGTATGTTACTTATTTGGGCACCTGGAAGCTGTTTGAAAGATTTATGGCGGAGAGGGTGACTTTAGTACCCACGATACTGATTAAGTGGCGATTAAGCGTGAATTATTTAAAGTGAGTAGCGAAAATGAATACTTTAAGTAGTGAATCATATCTTACATGTAGTTACGCAAGTTACAGCGGTAATTTACTAATGAGCATTATTCAGAATTTGTAATTTACAAAAGTTTATCGATTTCGTCTTCTAAATGTCAAAAGAAATTTATTATTACAATGTCTAAATTTTAAGATTGGGCTTAAAAATTACCTTCCACATATCCATAATTTTTTTCATAATTACACGTTAGGAAAATATTTCAGCAATTGTTAAATGTATATATGTGTTTCGAGGTGTTCATTCTTTAAGCTATATTGTTTAAGTTTTTTCACTCATCCCACTCATTTACAGCTCATCAGCCTGTAAATTTACATCATTTGATGTTGATTATTAACTGCACAATATTCGATTATGTAACTTCGTTATTTAGGAAAGAGCAAGGGCGGCGGCGATGGGCTACCCTGATCCAACGAACCCTACGTATGAGGCTACCACCGAGTCCTATCATAAGACGCTTATGGAGTGCTTAAGGCGAATGAAACAGTACAAAGATAAAGGCGAGGATCCCAGAAAGATTGGTATTATGGTCGCGTCCCATAATGAGGATACAGTACGCTTTGCGATTGAAAAGTATGTAATGTGAAACATTCCTGCGAACTTTTATAATTTTGTTCCAGTTCTCTGTAAAACCAATTAACTGCCGCATTATTATTTCAGAATGAAGGAGATAGGAATCTCACCGGAAGATAAAGTGATCTGCTTCGGCCAGTTGTTGGGCATGTGCGACTACATAACAATGCCATTAGGTATAACATTCTTAATCCTTAGTAACGTGATTAAAATAAAAATAAAATGCAGAATCTTTGCTGTTGGGCGTTACTTATTGGTTGAAGAAGGTCTTAATTGTAGAGGCGTGTTTTGGAAGCAAGAAATAGTATAATTTTCTGATGACTATATTTCAGGTCAGTCAGGGTACTCAGCATACAAATATATTCCTTACGGCCCAGTTAAAGAAGTATTGCCATATCTTTCACGGCGCGCGCAAGAGAACCGAGGCATACTTAAGAAAATCAAGAAAGAGAAACGTCTTTTGCTGTCAGAGATAATGAGACGCTTTGTGCGCGGCCAGATATTTTATAAACCGAAAGGAAACTACACCCCGGTCTGAGCAGCTGATTCCTAATCTATGCACAGACAGATTTTAAGTATCAAACTTAAGTAGTGATTGTAAATTATTAAAAGAAAAAAAAACAGGAAAGACTTCTGCGGTACGCAGAATAACGTGCGCGTGTGTGTGAATGGAAGTATTTGCAGTGTTATTCATTACGCAAAATTTCCTCGGTGTGACGTTATCAAGTGCAAAACTGCTCAAAATCGCACCATGTGGTAGAACTATGTTCATTGCTCTTTATGTTCGTTACAGAAAACTTTTCAGTGAACTGCGCTATGACTTTTTTTAAAGATGATCAACACGTTTTACGCTTTCGTTAATTAATACCGTGTTCATTATAGCGTTCACGATACCAGTCATTGAACACCGATATTTTCAATTATAGTTTATTTCTACAAAAAACGAAAACCACGAAAAAAAGAATCGAAATTTCGTTCACGGTAACCATTTTCACATGGTCATTGTTCAGAAGGTTCCACAAGGGAATACGAAATTTGATCAATTGGATTCTAAAATGAAATTCTAGTTGAAATGGAAAGGAATAAATATACCATTGTTTGAAACGTACTAGCTTTGTTACTAATGTTTTATTTAAGAATCTCGTAGTGCGTGCGTGCACGATTATTTATAGTGGACATGTTTAAATATTTGTTGACGTACGTAATTTAGTATTTCTCTCGATCAGATATTATTTCCGTATTGAAAATATGCAACTGTAAAATTATACCCCGTGTAGTGAACTGCATTTAATTAAGTGGAATACTCGTGTGGATTGAATTTTCAGCCCAGTTTCAATGCTTTATATGCGTAGTTACCATGAACGGTTATTACCAAAGTGATAGTATTGGCAAATACTAGGGACTGCAAGTCGTAGCAGCGTCTGTTTAATTTTTGAATGGAAGCGTTCGCACATACCTTGAGAAAGTGGGTCTTACGAGCTTTTAACGACGACTGTTTTAATGACGACTGTTAAGAAGTTAAAAAAAAATGTTGGAAACGTTATCGGTAAATAATTGCTGTAAGCGTGCGATAAGAGCCACTTTCTAGTATGTGATTATTTCTACGCATGTTGAAATGGAAAAAAATTAAGTAATCTTGGGCTGAAACAGTGATAAACTGCAAACTAGGAATTGAAGTAAAAGTATGTAATTGTGACACATCGTATAGGTTTTTAATTCACTTTGCTTCAGCCTAAAGTTGCTTTGTCTTGTCAGATAATATTAGTCTTAAATACACGATGTTGTCTCAATAATGCGCCCCAGGAATTAATACAGCTAATACACGGTTCTTTGTTACAAAATTTTTCTTCACGAATTAAAATTAATTTTAAGAAAATCTCGAAAAAAAATTTATAATTTATAGATAATAAATTCTTTTCAAGTTTTAAAGAAGAGTTTTACGTATGTAGTGACGAAACCTGTGCTTTAGCTCAGCAGAATTTTTATCGTTTCAAACGGAAATGACAAATGACGGATTCATATGTGTTGAAAGATTTTAAGCGTTAACATTATATTCTCTTGGTGATGAGAATGATTCAAACAATAATTTCCACACAGTTTTATAACACTATGATAGTTTCCCGTCAGTATTCTTTTAGAGATCAGGGTAGTTTCCTTTGTTTGTCAGGGGTTCTTTCATTGATTATTATTGTTTTAAACTACACATACGATCGTTATAAACTCCTAACTCTTTTTAGATGGTATATGAACGTACAATTTTTTATGATCTCCTGAGTTACTATACATGTGTACTTGCGTAATGTATGTGCACATGTGAATGCGTAAATAGTTTGTATTTGCAACTGTCGAATAGAAACCTGTGCTTTTTGTAGAACAAAAGTTTTGTACATTTGTTACAGTTTCTGTTCTGTTTAAGTAAATCATGGGATGACGTTGTACTTGGAAATCTAGAAAGGAATTAAAAAAAACAATGAATAAAGGGGCATTGTTGAAGTTATACTGGCTATAGCTAAAAGTTTCTATGTGGCTAATGGTATGTGGAATGTGAGTGATTTAGGTATAATTCTACTTGTTATATTTAGTGTTCGACTTCAAGTGTCGATACATTAATTAACTTCTACACGTCTCGTGATGATGACAATACTTTAGGTAGATAATGTTACAAAACTTATATGCTATAAGTATAAACTATATGCCATGATGGAATGAGTTCATGGATTTTGAAGTGAATGACACGAGATTAGTCAATAAAAGAAGTGGTAGAATGTGAAGTTACGGTGATATTATCTTCGTACGAAGTTGTACGAGTCAATACATAACGATTATACGCGAAGAACGTTTACTAACGCGGCCGTGCATTCTACTGCCAAACTGAAACTATATAAGATATTCTTTCTTGGCTCGAATATTATAATAACTATTTGCCTGAGTGTGAATAATATATTTATGATGAAAGTAGTACAATGGTGTTCACTATATTGTTTTTAACAATCAGTGTTATATAGTAATATTGACTTATTGTGAACAGGATTATATATATACATATATGTAATTTAATAATTGAAAAAGTGGTTATCATAATATTCTGGTATTTGCTTTTTCGTAGAGACACTGTCATTGAATCCGATCATCGAGTAATATATTTTCGATGATTGAAAAGTGTGTCACGGTGGAAGATGAAAGTAAATTGAAACGTTGATCAATATAAAATAAGATAATATTTATTATTTCACGAAATACAGTTAATATATGCTTTTGCAATACCGTTTATAAATCCGTATTTATTTACTAGGACATAAACATTCGCTTCCATTCCGTGTAACGAAATTAACCGTCAGTATACGTCACAAGCACGATTCAATAGCTGAGGGCTACTATTTAACAGTGAGACCAGAATGAGCAATTTTATTGCTGTGTATATTTGTGATGCATTGGAAGTAATGTTTCTTGTCCTAGCATTACAACAAGTAACAATATTTCTTTTTCTTACATTTTGTTGACTCTTCGTAAAGCGTCCCCTTTTATATCTTCCCTTGTATAGATCTCAGTGATATAGTTAATTTTAATATTTGAAAATAGATCGGTGTACATACAAATACTGTTATACGAATTAATCTTTTATGTTTGTTAGCTTGGCTTGAATCATGAGTTAATACAAACGATCAGTCGTACTTTGAAAATTATATTAGTAACAAGGAGAGTGATTTTGTATTTCAATATGTCTTTTTCTTTTGTAAAATTACAAATAGTCCGGCTATTTGTTTTTCGTTTCAGTGATTTCTATTAATTAGGAAATATTGTATATAAATATCTATTCACTAAATTAC